TTTTTTTGTAATTTTCCCAAAACCATTTGTGTTTTCATTTGTTTGTTTATGCTAGAAAATACTAAAACGGAGTGCTTCCAAGATAGTACCTTAGAAATAATTATCGCTATTATTATTATTGTTATTGTTATTATTGTTATTATTGTTATTATTGTTATTATTGTCATTATTATTTTGATATTGTTAACTTAATTGTCACTATTATTGTTGATAAATCTTATAGGGATATTGTTGGCGGCTCGTTTTTAGTAGGGTATTTATTAGACTTTTATCGGAAAGAATATATGAAAATTATATTATATTCTTTGTCATGGAATAACTATAACTTTCATATGAGAGCCTTTTACTTGGGGATTTTGTTAGGCTACACCACTTGGTGTCGTAGACCCTTAACATTTGTTGACACTAAAATACCTTTGAATTGTAAATACAAACTTTTTCAAGTAGGGGCATTTTTGGTCATTTAGAATCGTAGAATGGATATTTTTATAACAAAATAGTGGCATTTTATTAGTAGTTAAAAACAATTAATGCATCTTGTAGGTGATGTCACATATCCTTGTCTAATATTATTAATAAATGCTTTTGTTTCCATCAGGAATTTCTTGACTAATTACTTAAAATACCCCTAAACTATAGGATAAGGGTATCTAAATGTTTAAAAATATTGAGCACTTTAAGGATCCATACCACAAATGGCGTAGCCTAATAAAACCTTTTACTTAGTGAAGCTCTGACCCCATTTAGATACTAAAGCAAAAAGTTGAGTAGGTTCTAAACCCTTTTTCAAAAATTAAAGGATGCAATTTCTACATGCATGAGCTTTATGTGAATAAAGTAAAGCCCTACTTCAAATTTTCATCCGGTTTGCACTCTAAGCATTGAAAATATTCAAGATGGCTCTAAAATCAATTTCCAATATCGATTATGAAATTTGAAGCTCATAAAATGATATAGATCTTGCATATCCATAAATACTTATGTTTAGTCGAGATGGATGGTCTAGATAATGTAACTATTTTTAAGGCTTGAAATCTTAGTATTTTTTATAACTATAATGGTTAAGGCCAAGATGGTGGATTTTATGGTCTTCTGACTCCATAATTGCATTTTTCCTTGAGACATGAGGCGAGCCTTTATATAATTTTTTTTACAACCATATAGATTTATAAGGTACTTTTTAGGTAATGGCGATTAGTTTTAAAATTTTAAAAGTATGAGTTGTATTCAAGTAATTTGATTAGTTTTAGGTAATTATGTTCCTAATTAGAAAGGGATCAATTATTTAAGTTTCTATTTTTCTCAAAATTTAGTCTTCCAAATAGTGTGTTATTATAGTCTAATTTTATTATTGGGATAACACTGGGGAGGCCCATATTATCGTGATAAATTCATTTTATCGTGATAATATTCAAGACATTATTAGTCTTTCTTTCCCCCATAAAACCAAGATAAATTCAAATTATCGTAGATAATGGGCATGGAGCACTCTCTCTCTATCCGAGTGCTAATACCAAAGGGTGTGGTTTGTATAACCTGTCAACTCAAAATAATCTAAATAATGTAGACCTCCAAAGCTCATTGAAACATGTAATTTTGATAAAAACTTTAATGACTTGAAAATCCATTTAAAATCTAAATATAAAATTAAAAATTAAAAAAATAATACAAATCGAACATATCTACAAACATATAAAAATCTTGACAATGAACTGTCTATATAGCATTTTTTAAAATATAATATTTTTAAAATTTTAAATATTTTTTTACTAAATATGTTAACTGATCAATTAGAAGATTATAACAAACCTCTTTTCTAATGGATTTTTGAGGTGTGCTTTTTTTTTCTTTAGCATAAAGTTGCAACCTGTCTCCCTTATTAATGGTAAATCATGATATGCTGTCCCTTAAGTCAATTTAAGACAGTTGAGATTGGATGCGTGCATGCATTTGATTAGGTACGCTCAAAAATTTCGACCCTTTAAATTTCATTGGATAGATACTATAGACATACAAATAGTGAACAGCAATTTAAATACATTTTTTAAAGAAAAAAGGACAATAATAACTAGCAATCGATCCAAACGTGCCAACTGTCGCCTGTTCAAAAAGATAATATGTGGTCTTATGGCTGTTGGGTAGGGCGTTGAACGTCGTCACTTATTACTTTCGTCGACATTCTTTCTCGAAAGACTAGTCAACAAGGTCCGAAATTTCGGCCAGTTTCGGCATGGTTCCAACTTTTACCCTCAAAATTTGGACAAATTCCTCATGTCTTTATCTTCTAATAAACAAGTGGGCAGCATATTTAACATAGTAGAATTTAGCTTTTTTATTTTTTTTTATTTTTATGATTCTGGTAAAAATATATTTGACATCATCATCCGCCTCATGAATGGACGACAGAGATGACCTTTGTTTAGTCCATTAGCTACTTTATGTCTCAATCAAATTTCAAAAGGGTGCAGAACGTGACATTTTTTTTTTTGTTAGGATCGGTAATTCCCGAGAAAGCGAAAAAGAAATTTTTTTAAAAAATACCTCTGAAAAAAAAAGGAAATAAAAATATAAAAGCTGCTTTGGTCCTCCCCTACAAAGGGATATCCCCCCTTCCCCTTGGTTCGGGTTTGTGCTTGGCGATCCAGCCGGGTCGGGAGACCCACGAAACCCTAATATTTGTTGTCGTTTCATTGATGTTATGCCGAAGTTTCGAGCGTATCTCGAAAAATCATTTTAAATTTGGGCTTTTCCAATCATTTTTTGTTTTAATAGCTTGTATACTATGCGCCCACAGGAGTTATTATGTACATCGACTCCCTGCGTTAGAAATCCCACTTGAAAGAATTTTTATAATCTAAATCTTTTAGAAGCACAAAAGAATCACTAGATAATCATTTAAAAAACAAAAAAATGCTTTGAATTTTGTTTTACAATACTCACATCTTACCCTAAAAAAATTGGATAGCCTTGGTTCAAGTTTGAGACATTTTCTTTTTAATCTATAGAGTGTAATTTGCATTTTTTATTTTGTTTGAAATTAGTCAATAGGTTGAAAAGGTTATATCCCCAAAATTTTCAAAGCATAAAGTTAAATCGAAATGGGATTTTATGTGAGGATCAATTGGACAGTTTACTCCCGTGGGAGTATAGTAACTTTTGGCATTCTTCAAACCGTATTCAAACTCGAACTTTGTCCTCTAGCTGTTTCCTTGGTTTTTATTTGGCCGCACGCTCGTGTGGTGGGGACCATATGGGAAAGGGCACGTCAGTGGGTCAGTTGTCAGCTGGCATTTAGTCAAGACCCTTTGCCAGGTGGATCAGGCCCCACAAACCAACTACCCACCTCTCCCAAAAAAAAAAAAAAAAAAATTAAACTCTCTAAAAAAAAAAAAAAGGTTATATAAGGCTGCAACCTTATAAGATGTAGAGCTACGGATATACCTAAAAAATCCATCGGAAAAAGTAATTTTATTGTTGAAAAACTTTTTGATTAATCATTCCGACACTATGACTATCGAAAAATAAAATGATTTAAAGTCTAAAAACTAATGCATTTTACAACATATTATCTATACCGTCTATTTTCAAGATTTTCATATGGTTATAGATCTACTTGATTTTAAATAATTTTAAAATTTAAAATTTTATAATTAAATATAAAAATAGATTATGAGATAATCCTAATAACATTTTATATCAAAATTATATACCATTATAAAATTTGAAGCTATACCTTACCTCCACAGCTTCGGATGCATCCGTATGCCAACTGCACCCCACTCTAAAATGCTCTCCCACCCAAATATTGTATAGATACCACTACTCGTTTGTTTAAGTACGTTTTAAGTGGTGCATTACTCCTTTGTTTAAGGTTGTTAAGGTGGTCCATTAGTTGCTGTTAATTATTAGTTGGTGCCGTTAGGATAAGGTTGGGCTCTAAAAGGAGGAAAATGGAACTGTTTTTAATCGTTGATATTAAAATTTTAAACTCTAAAATCGTAAGTACAGTAGATTTGTAAAATTTTGAGAATAATATGTCACAATATATATCATTATCAGAGCATTAAAATTTTTCAAACTCGAGTTTGATTTGAAGATTTTATGATGCCAAAACTATATTTTTACGGATATTCAATATACGAATTTTGACCATTACATGTGAAATTAGGTGGCTGCATTGATTTTATTGACCAACCTCAAAGTTTAAAAGAAATTTTCTCGAACTTTATGACATACTTAAACCATCAAATTTCACATTGAATGGTTGTAAATAATTGTTACCTCCTTATATTAAAGATAAATGGTCTTATTGTGTACAATCCCTAACCTTTATTAGAGAGCCAAGACCTTTATATCCTACAAGAATCAAACGTTTGGTAAGAAGATCTCTCTCTTAAAACCATTGTTAGAAAAACTGGCCGATCTAACTGGTAATTGCCTAGTTTGATCGGAATAGGCCCCTTGTCAGTTTCGGTTTCGGGTGGTTTGGTAATCGGCCTGTATTTTAAAAATAAAAATTTAACAAAATGTCCATAAAATCTTAAAAATAAAGAATTTGATTTGCAATACGTTTTATGGTAAATATTAACTTTTCGATATATGGAAGAAGCAGTTTAATAGGCTTAACTGGCCGATTTAACCGTTCTTTATATGTTTGAATCGGCTAGTTAAGCCTATTAAACTGCTTCTGGCCCCATGTCTGGTTAATCATTTCGATTCGATTTTACGAACACTCCTTAAAGTTAAAAAGAAATGTTTTGAGAGCAATAATAATGGGCCTTCGTGAGGGTATAATAAAGTTTGAGAATGCAAAATGTCACTTTGATTGGGCACATCTATAGAACGCTATTGGTTGGCTCAACAAATGAAAAAAAAATTATAGGGCAAAGACATATTCCATGAAAACCCACAACTCGTCATAGGATACATCGCCGTCGGTATCTATCTATATCAACGGCGTAAATCGCTAGTCCCATAAGAATGCTATCAGGGCTTGATTGATACATAGGGGTTTGATTGAAACTCTAGTGTCTCCCTTCAACTATAAATACCCCCATCACCATTGCACACTTCACTACCACTTTTCCACCTGCAAATCACACTGGTCTTCTCCCTCTACCACTTTTTCTACAAAGTTCAAACCTTCATTAGGATTTCTTTTTGGCACTTCAACACACATAACACACCCCCCCTCTCTCTCTCTCTACTCATTTTCTCTCTCTACCCATTTTCTCTCTCTACATTCTCTCTGGCAACCATGGTAGCTCTGGAGGGCAACCCGGTTCTCCGAGCTGAAGAGGACGCCAACAAGGCCACTGTCATGGCCTTGTATGCCGCACTGGACGGTGGGGATTGCTCGAGAGTTGCGGAAATCTTGGCACCGGATCTCGAGTGGTGGTTCCATGGTCCGCCTCACTGTCAGTATATGAAGCACATGCTCACTGGAGAATCCATACACCACAATTTCACTTTTAAGCCACAGAGTGTGAGGGCTATAGGGAGCATGATTTTGGCCGAAGGGTGGGAGGGGGAGCACATGTATTGGGTACACGTGTGGAGTGTAGTAAACGGGTTGATCACACAGGTGAGAGAGTATTTCAATACTTGGATTATAGTTCGGGACTTGAGTCCTGTGGTCCTCAAAGCCCAAGATGGTTGTGAGGGATTGACTTTGTGGCGTAGCGAGGTCGAAGGACGATGGGAAAAGTCGCTTCCCGGACTAGTGCTTGCCATATGATTCTAATCTATTTTGTAGTTAAATATGGAGCGAGTTCTAGTCTCTCTTTTATTTTTCTTTCTTTGTGGTATCTTTTGTACTCGTGGTCTCTCACTTCGTCTTTCTTTACATTTTATCATTTAGTGATCTCAAATGTAAAGCTGTAATTCGCAGTGGAATATAGAGATAACATCTATCTTGGTTTATTTATTTATTTATTAATACTACAAAATGCATATAGGCGAAAACAAACAGTGATTTTACCTACCTTCATCACCATCTAAATTTCATCGCACAGTCACGACTGTCTGGTAGGGTTCTATTTTTCTTTTTTTTTTCTACAAATCGAAATGATATGAAATTTAGAGTGTGTGTTCATAAAAAATAAACGAATCTATGAAAAAATATCAAAACATATTTTACATGAAATATATTGACCAAACTACCCCAGAAAAATTTTAAGGGTATTTTGGTCAATTTTTTCTACATATTAATTTTTGTATATTTTTATTAGGTTCGCCTCATTAAGATGTACACACGCTTCAAATTTCAAATCATTTTGATTTATAGAAAAAAAAAAAGAGAAATGAAATACTGTCGGACAACCGTGACCGTGCGATGAACTTTAGATGGCGATGAGGATATGCAAAATCATTGTTCATTTTTACCTATATATATATATATATATATATATATATATATATCTTATTCTTTCCTTTTATCATCATCATCTTCCAAGCTTTAACTCAATTATTTGGAATCGGCTATATGAATTTTGTTCCTTCATTCTTGTCTATCAATGGCCATAACTTCAGTGAGACCAAAAATCTATACAACATAGGTTCAGGATTCATGATAAGATGTAACAAAGTTTTACGCTGACTGCCTAATAATACAACCGTCTTCCTTTACTCGAGCTTGGGACATGCTAAGAGAAAGTTTAATGTCTTCACCATTATTAGACCTTTCACTTCATTCTATCTGTCTTATTTAAAAATATTGAAATAAGCTAAAATCACAGCCTTTCATTTCTGGCTGGGTACCAAGTTATATTGGAAAAGGCTGGCCTACACAACCGACTTCTTAATTATATTCTTTTTCTCATATTTTAGGTTCGAAAAATATTCAAAGAGAAAGAAAACAAAAAATTAGCCTCCCAATGTCTAAGGGAAGTTTCCATGCAAGAGCATAGTGGACCCTTCGTTTGTGAGTAGAGCCAAATAAATTAAAAGTTTGGACATTGATCGTGCTCCAAAATTACATAAAACCTCCCCTGGTTCTTTCCTCATTCATCTGTACTACTTCTATTATGATTTTCAAGGTATATTGTTGTTACCATCATCAAAAACAAAATGGCAACCATATCCTTCAATTCAATCTGGATTCCGACATCTAGGATTTTGGGATTGTATACAATGAGACCATTTGTCTTTAATACTTTGGGCGGATCACAAAATTCGAGAAAATTTTGAACTTAGTCAATGAAATAAATGCAGCAACCCAATTTAACATCTACCAGTTAAGATCAATTGTGAACGTATTGTATCAAAAGTAAAAGAGAGATTTCATTCGATGGATTATAAGAGGGGTGTAGTTAGCATACGGATGCATCCGTAGCTGCAGAGGTAGCACCTTCAAATTTTATCATGGTATATAATTTTGATGTAAAATGTTCTTAGGATTATCTCAAAATTTATTTATAAAATTTTTAATTTAAAAAATGGTTAAAATCAAGTAAATCTATAAACATATGAAAATCTTGAAAATGGACGGTGTAGATAATATGTTGTAAAATGCACTATTTTTAATACTTAAAATCTTTTTATTGTTCATGGTCATACATCTTGATGTCATCTTTTTATTGTTCATGGTCATACATCTTGATGTCGAGATGATCAATCAAAGGGTTTTCAACATTAAAACTACTTTTTCCGATAGAGTTTTGAAGTGCATCCGTAGTTCTACATTATCAGGTTGCATCCTTATATAAATTTTTTCTATGAAATAAATGCAGCAACCCAATTTAACATCTAACAGTTGAGATCAATTGTGACCTTATTGTATCAAAAGTAAGAGAGAGATTTCATTCGATGGATTATAACAGAGAGATTTCATTCAATGAATTATACGTCTTTCTTTCCCAAGCTCTCATGAATAAAAAGGGTTTTGGCCCGGCCTAGGTTGTACAATGTGGCAGCCTTTTGAACTGTCTTCAAATTATTGGCAAGAAATTTCACTATTCCAAGGGCACCGTGGAGTAGTGAAATATATAATTTTTTGAAATATATAATTTTTGGAATATATAATTTTTTGAGTTTTTTTTTTTAAACACTCAAACCCGCCAAAACTGGAACCAGTTCTAATTTGACTCGACTGATATTGCATTCACTGGAATAGAGGAAATTTATTGGTATCAAACTTTAGAATCAAAATAGATAAGTGAGGGAGATAACAACACAAAATACATCAATGCCATTGCCTACTGAAGAAGTGTATCTAATAACATTCAAGGATTCTCAATCCAAAATGTTCATGTGGAAGATTGAGTAGCAAAAGAGAATGCAATTATAGATCATTTTAAAAAATATCCTGCACTTCAGAACGACGACTACCTTTCCACATAAATAAAGTGCCCTTTAAAAAGCTTTTTGAAAGCCAAAGTTTGGATTTGGAAAGGCCCTTTACCTATGAAGAGATTAGGAGGGTTGTCTTTATCCTTTATAGAGATAAAGCTCCACGCCAGATGGATATCCCCTACCTTCTATCACAACCGTTGGGATTTATTAATGTAAAACCTCATTCGGTTATTACGAAAACCATTCATAGGCAGGCTTCGCATGGGGAATCCCAGTACAAAAAAGAAACTCACCTTTCTTTGGCAAAAATTGGGCATTGTTCCAAATGGTGGCAATACTCTAAGAGCTTGGAACAACCAACTTACCCACAGTAGAACAAAAAGGTTGGATTATGCTCAATGGAATCCTTCTCATTTATCTCGTTCCCTTCTTTTCAAATGATCAAAAACAGTAATCTGAGGCAACTCAGTCAATTATTTCTACATGTATGATAGTTAAAACTTAATGGATCCATCCCATTTACCCACGTGAGATAGCAACAAGGGAAAAGCAGTTCAACAATGCGTAGTATGAAGGAACATGGGTTGGGAACCAGTCTAGGATTGAATATAATTCACCAAGAGTAATTTGAACAAGATATACAACAAAAATCATTCAGAGCCCAATGAAGTAGAAAAACTACATTCTTGTGGTGTAATACAGAGGCAGCACTGGAATTTAGGAGAACGCCTGGCAATGGGCAGGCCCAGTATGCCCAATTACATTTTAGATGATCGATGTGTAGACAGGAACTGGCCTAGCCCAGCCATGAACTGACAAGCTGGGGCCTAGCCCAATACGAATCCAGGAAGACCACTTTAGAGCAGGCCCAACCCTTCAGGGCACAAATGTTGGCCCAACACCAGGTTGGGGAACCCGGCCCATCACCATGCCTACTTAGGATGTAGTATTAAAATCTTCAACACCTCAACCAATCAAGTTCACACTTCAAATCCTATTATAAAGACCATCTTATTTGCATATATTACGTTTTAAAATAAATCTAAGCTTCGAACACCATTCAGGGCAAGGTACAACTTAGATGCTATGTGAGAAGATAAATTGATGTTGTTAACATAGAAATCAGTTAAAGTATTGTATTCCAAAACAGGTCAACAAAGAACGAACTTTTATGTGACCTGGGGTCAATTCCACAAAGAACACGAGAAGGCAAGTCATGTCATTCATCAGTCACTAACAGCAAATCATGACCAGTTCCCCTTGAACAAGAAAACAATAAATAATGAATAACTAATAAAAAAGAAAAACATGGTATATGCATTTGTAATTGGAATATACAAACATCAATGATCATAAATGAGTATTCCAAACATCTATGATCATAAATGAAATGCTTGGTCTGAAGTCTCAAGCATAAGCATATTCAGCATTCTTCTGAAGCTCTCTGTTGATCACCCAAATAATGCTTCTCTTGTCTCAATAGAGATATTTCTTCATCCAATGTATACTGAAACTCCATACTGTCTTGAAATTCATTCACATCCTTATAGTAATCTTCTTGATCGGCAAGAAGGTGTACTTCTACTGAAACTGGTGTCAATCATAGCCTTCACTATTCCCATTAAGAGGATCAAAGTTTTTCATGGAAGCCTGTGGAATGTGAAACTTTGAAAGCAGGATTATTATGAAAAGGGAACCATACTGTACTTCTTATACAAGTTCTATACATATCTTTAGCTACAAGTCTCAATTTATTAATCTGGTCTTCTTAACCTCAAGCATCATCGACGAAAAAAAAGAACTCAAAGTTTTGTGATTACTCTGCCATACCAAAACAATCAACCAGAGATCAAAAGAGAATGACGTAAAAGAAAAAGAGAAGAAAAATAACTCTCTCCTAAACTATAATGATGAAAAACATAAGACATCAATACTAGTAAAGATGGGAACATACGATGGGAAATGTGTTAAAAATAAGTTTGATTATGTTCAAGGGTATTTTGGGTATTAGATTTAAATGTAAGGGACATTTTGGAAAAGCTATGTTAAGGGTAATTTTGGAATGATGTAAAAGAATTGTGTGGAGTTCTTAGGTCACAATTCCAAGATTGAGAGAGAGGAATTCCAAGATTGAGAGAGAAGAGTCCCAAGATTGAGAGAGAGGAGTCCAAAGCATGCAATGCATGCAAATTTGAATTGGGAATAAGTGAAGTCTAGAATTTTTTTTAATAATTTTGTAATTTCATCCATGCATATAAGTTGTCAGTTATGAGTGGGAAAACATCACTAGAATGGTGTAGAAAGAGTCTAGAAAACTCCTAAGTGGTTTATATATATATATGTACCATGTTTTTGTACAAGAAGAGTGAAGAAATTGCGTTGAATTGAGCTCTTTTGTGTGCATAACTGCAAATTCAAAGTAAGCTTTCTTCCTCCCTATTTTCTAACAAAATGAACCTTACAGTGCATCTGCATTGTTCTGGTTGTAAGCTCCTTTTGCTCCCTCCTTTTCTTGCTCTGCTACCAAGTTAGAGGATTCAGTCATAAACCCTTTGCCCTTTGCTCCAATTTTCTTCCTCCCTACTGCAAATTCTTTAGCCAATTCTGCTAGCTTCCCTTGCTTGAGCTGCAAATCAAA